TAAGTCGCACAGGAGGAGATTGTCTGTCCTTCTACCAAGCAGCTGATGGATTTGAGCTGCATGCCTTTGGGATTGCAGCACAGCTTCTTAACACTAGGCTACCACAGCTCCCTGCACTTGAGGTAGAATATAAGGAACAAGATAAAGCTTTTATTGTAGAATGTAAATTCTAGTTGTAGGGAATGGACATGCTAATAAAGAATCAAAGGATCTAATAAGGAGCCCTGGTGGTGGTGTACCTTAGGCTGCTAACCAACAGGTCAGTGATTCAAATTTACCAGTAGTAACTTTGAGGAAGAAAATAAGCAGTCTCTTCTCATAAAGATTTATGTCCTCAGAAACTCTATGTGGGGTCACTATGAGTTGAATATCAACTAAGAGTTGAAATAAACTTTATAGCAGTGAGTGAGTGGTGTAACAGTTAAATGCTTCTGTTAGTCAAAAGATTTGTAGTTCAAACCCACTCATAGCTCTTGGAGGGAAAGGTCTAATAATCTACTTCTGCAAATATTACAGCCTAGGAAAACCCATGGGCAGTTTGATGCTGTCTATAGAGTTGCTATGAGTCAGAATTAACTTGTTAACAAATAACAGCAGACAAATGGGCTGATAAATGCTGACTATGAATGGTGCCCAGGAGAAAATTAGTCAGCAGAATGAAAGAGAGAATGACTTCAAGGAGGCGCTATTTTATATGAGGTGGTCAGTAAAAGAATGGAAGAGGAGAGGGAGCCAGCATGTAGAAGTCACAGGGAAGAGCAGGCAGAGACATGGTAGGTAAAAAGATTTTCATGAAGAAACAGATTTAGAATCCTCAAATGACTAAGTTAAAGAATTTGTATTTTATTCTAAATGTAGTTGGAAGCTATTGGGCACTCTTGCAGGAAAGTAACAAAATCTGTTCTTCAAAGATCACTCCAGCTACATTGAGAAGAATGGGCTGTAGGGAACAAGAGAGATGGGAAGCTGTCGTGGTTGTCAGGTTCCATAGAGTTAAGTACAACCAATAGAGACCCTATGAACAACAGATCTGAATCCTGTCCTATCCTTTGCCATCCTCACACTTCCAGACACATTGTGGCAATCACCGTGCCAATCCACCTGGTCAAGCGTCTTCTTCTCCTTCACTGACTCTCTTCTCTCCAAGGAACAACCCCTCCTAGCAACATGCTCAAAGTGTGTGAGATGAAGCTTTATCATCTTTGCCTTTAAGATTGCACTTTCTCCAAGACATATTTATTTGTACTTTTGGAAGTTCATGGGATGTTCAATACTCTTCTCCAATACTACAGCTCAAAGACATCAATTTTTTTTCTCCTGTCATCCTTATTCATTGTCCAGCTTTCAAATGCATAGTAAATGATCGGAAAGATCATGGCTGGATCAGACACAGCTTAGTCCTCAAAATTACATCATTGCTCCTCAATAATTTGGTGAGGTCCCTGACTGCAGGGGTTGTATCCTCTCTCCATATCTATTCAATCTGTATGCTGAGCAAATTAGTCAAGAACCTGGAATCTATGAAGAAGAATGTGGCATCAAGATTGGAGGAAGACTCATCAACAATCTGCATTGTACTGATGACACAACCTTGCTTGCTGAAAGTGAGGAGGACTTGAAGCACTTATTGCAGAAGATAAAAGAATACAGCCTTCAATACGGATTGCATCTCAACATTAAGAAAACAGAAATTCTTACCACTGGACTGACAGGCAATATCATGATAGATAAAGAAAAAAATTGAACTTGTCAATGATTTAACCTTACTTGGATCCACAATCAAAACCCTTGGTACTAGCAGTCAGGAAATCAGGAGATGTATTGCACTAGGAAAGTCTGAAGTTGAGGGAAGCAGTTGGCTAGGCCAAATAGGTAAAGGCAGCAAGAGATGACAGTGGCTTGGAGGAGGTGGTGAATGTGAAACAGGAGGGAAGTAGTGCCTGCTAGTGTGAGAGTGAAGAAAAGGGAAGAACCAAAGGTGATTCTCAAGTGACTTGAGGAATTGAGTGGGTAGTGGTGTAATGGAAAAGCAAATAAACAAAACTGGGGCAAGAATAGACTGGAGTGTGGGAAGAAGTTACTGATGTCAATTGAAGGCTCACCATATGCTTGGCACAGAGGATACTTAGAAGAGTATGGGACAGACTCAGTGCTGTGTGTCTGCAGGCCATAAAGGGTTCTCTCCAGGAAGCAAGTAGAGAGCAGTGTGAGATCACAGCATCAATAGTAAGACCTGGCTCGGGCCCCGTTGTGTGCAAAGCCCTTCCACACTCTGAAGGCAGTGGTGCTTTAGTGGTAGTGTTCTCATCTTCAGTAAAAGAATCTTGGGTTCAGTTTCTGTTCAATGTACCTCATGCACAGCCACCACCTGTCTGCCATTCTATGATGCTGAATAGAGATCAGCAGAGCATCTAGACTGACAAACTAGAAAGACTGACAAAAACTAGAAAGACCAGCTTGACCATCTCTTTCTGAAAAAAATCAAACAATGAAAAAACCCAGTGGATCACAGTGGTGCAATTCACAACTGATCCTGGAGACACACAGAACTGGGTAGTGTTTCAGGCTGTTGTGCACGGATTTTTTCTATCTGTCCCACACTATGTTAGTGTGTGTGACCCACACTATGTCAGTAGGTGTAGCATAGATAAATAAGGGAGCTCTAGTGGCTTAGTGGTAAGGAGCTGTGCTGTCAGTGAAGAGGTACACAGTTCAAATTCACCAGCTGCTCCACAGGAGAAAAATGGACAATCTCCCCCCATGGGGATTTAGTGCTTCTGAAAACCCACCAGAGGGTCAGTTCTGACTCAACAGCACACAAAGACAACATAGATAAGCAAGAGAGCTCTGGTTAGCTTAGTGAGGGGTAAGGAGTTGTGTTGTCAACCCAAAGGTATGGGGTTCAAATCCACCAGCTGCTCTGCAGGAAAAAGAGGAGCACTCTTCTTCTCTGTGATTCTCTGCCTCTGAAAACCTGCTATGGGTCAGTTCCAGCTCTGTGGTACAGAACACAGACAAAGAAAATTACTATTATCATCTCCACTTCACAGATGTTAACATTGATGTGTAAAGAGGTTGCAACAAGCACACGATCAGCCAGCCAGGGTGAGTGTAAGCCAAGGGGCTACAGAATTTCCATTTAAAGGTATGCTCTGGAGTGGGGGTGGGAGTTATCATTTGTATGTGAAATACAGTCATATTATTTGGATTTGAGGGTTGACCAGAAAGTTTGAGAGAATCTGTTGGGAATGCAAGAAAGGAACTAGAGCTTAAAACCTTTGGGCTCAGAGTACCCACTTGAAACACATCAAATGAGTTTTCCTCCAAGCAAACTGGAGGAGCTGCCTTGAATCTGCTGGGATGGTGCAGACTAGAGTGGCTCGGGGAGCTGAAGCTTGAATTCGAGCCACTTCTACAGAAAACTAGGGCCAGGAAGGGCAGCCACAGATGGGAGACGGAGCACGGGTTGTTCCGGCTCTATACACTGGTAACCTGTCCTGGGAGCAGAGACAGCCTCGCTTGGCTTAGAAATGCAGGGTGAGAAATCAAGGCCAGCCCCTGAAGAAGGTTCTTTCCAGGCTTTAAATGCCATGGTCTGCCTTCTCCCCAGGCTTCAGAGCCCAGGAAGGGACTTGGTATTCCTTGCTACTTCACAGCTCAGACCTGGTTATCAGGCCATCTTGAGATACAGCTAGCTTAAGACTGAAGATTTGTAAGTTCAAGTCTCCAAAGCATTGGTTTTCTCTCTGCTCTTCCACCAGGCACGCTCAGTCTCTTCTTGCCCAGAATCCCTGCAGGGAAGGTCATCCCTGCCTGCCCTCTTCAACTGTGGTTCTCTACCCACAGAATACAGGTGCATTGCTAGATGCGATGGCGGTTTCCCGGCTAAGAGCTTCCCACAGAAACCATCCAGTATGCCTGTCATGAGCTTCCACTCATCCTTTCTTTGTTCTCAGAGTTCTGCTCAAACCTCACCTGCTCTGGCCTCCAGCATTCCACCGCTAGCTGCACGCCTCTCCTGCCGCCTCCAGATAGCCTTGTCAGCCATACAGACCACTCATTTGAAGCCAAAGACCAAGAATCAGATGTCCCAGAAGCTGCAGAGTTTTTCCCAGGAACCCTGGCCTTCATGCATGCACTAGACATTGTCTGCAGACAGTGATACAGACCCACTTAGATCCCTTCCTAAGGTGCTTAACGTAGTTGCCAAACTCATAACCACTGTTTATCATTGTGCATTTTTTTTCTAGGTCAATAGAGATTGATAAGATTGCCATCATATGGAGGTCATGGAAGCTACATCATGTTTCCAGCATCATCATGGTGGATAAGAGCAGCCGTCGATGGTCTAATGGATGAGAAACTGAGCTGCAGAGAGGCAGCAGGAAAACAAGACAGATGGCCTGGAAGCCAACCTCCTGGGCTCTTGAGGAATTTCTCTTCTTCCTAAATTCCAAGAAGGAGCTCCGGTCGCCTAGCGGGTAAGGAGTTGCACTGTCAACTAAAAAGATACACAGTCTGAGTTCACCAGCTACTCCTCAGGAGAAAGATGAGCAATCTTCCCCCATGCAGTTTGCTGCCTCTGAAAAACGCACTGCAGGGTCAGTTGCATAAAAACCACAACAACAACAACAACGTTCTATAAAGTCTGGAGCTGCTCTTGGTCCTTCTCAGCCCACACTAAGAAGATCAAAGTCATGCTTGCTGAACAAAAGGTTTAGAAACATGTCCCGTGTCCTGTGCGCATCCCACTTTCCTCTTTCCCAACCGGTTTGGCAACACCAAGAGCTTAGTCTCCCACTGCACTTGTTCCAGAAGAGCAAGAATTGTTAAAGGGCATTGTGTCATGTTTGCCCAATCCATGGCACACCACGCACAGTGTCCCTTCCTCTCTCCTCCCTCTGCCCTCCAAATTTCAACACCGCCAGCTGAGGAGGAGCAGGGCAGCCGGATAAAAGAGCCGACTGAACCTGGCTGGAGTCTGTAGGCGAGCCAGCATCATGGAGAGACTCACAGCCTGGGCAGGTGAGTGGGCCCTGACAGAGAGCAGCCTGAGTCTTGGGTCAGGAGGAGCACACCCACTGGAAGGTGGAGTGTGCAGGAGAGCTGCACCCATCCCCACAACGACCCGTGTGCTGAAAGGGAAGGCCTCGTCCTCCCTGGTCCAGAAAGACTGCTCTCCCTTCTGTTCTGGGGTTCCTGGGACTGAGACTTCTCCGGTCTGGGGTACCTTCGTCTTCCTTATGCTCATAGGTCTCTACTTTTGATCATGTGAACCAAGAGTCACATCACCAAGAGATCCAGGGCCATATGGTCATCCTGCAAGAGGGCAACCTGGAGGCCACCCACTTTTTGAGGGTCTTCCCAAACGTTCATGCAGAATATTCTAGGCTATAGACAGATGAAATGAATGGCTGAAATGAATGAAGAGCCCAAAGTGACAAGCTTATGGGTGGGACTCTGAAAGCCTCTCCTGGGCCTTACAGCCTGTTGGCTCCTCCCAAGCACAGTGTCCAGCCTGAGCCCACACACCCTCAGTCCAGGTACAGAACTCAAACCCGGCCTCTGTCTTGTCTCCTGGCCTCCAGGATTTTAGAGATCTTTGACTTAAACCCCCTCAGTAACAACAACAGCAGCAAAAATTGTTAAGATCATCAATTACTTGTTGCCTGTCAGCTCTGAGCAAACCAACAGGCTCCCCAGTGGATTTTTCAGAGGCTAAAAGTCACATAGGAGATTGACCATCTTTCTTCTGAAAAGCAACTAGTAGATTTGAACCACTTACCTTTGGATTGGCAGAGCAACTCTTCATCCGCTAGGCCACCAGAACTCTCCTGAAGCTCTGACGCTTATCAGTTACAGAATGCTGCAGGCCAGGGGTCTCACTTCCTCTGGAGTCAGAAGCATGATTCTACCACTATAATTACCAGGAGCCTCAGGCAAATGGCTAAATATCCCTGAGTCCCAGGCTTCTCATCTCACGGGAAAGGGAAATGAGGCCTGCTCCTCAGCCTAGTGTAGGGGGCACTGAACGAGTTGGCATATGTACAACACACAGTGGGTGCTCAGGAAGGGTTGCAACCCACCTTTCACAGCCAGTCAGCCAGCCTACTTCCTCTCCTCCATTGGCCTCCGCCTGTAAATGAGACTTTGGTCTTTTCCTCTCTCCATCCCAGGAGCCCTGAGCCTCCAAGGATGCTGGTGTCACAGCCAGCTTCCTGAGAATGGAGGAACAAAGAAGCATGCTGAGGAGCAGAGCAGCTCTGCAGTCACCCCGCCCCATCCAGCCCCTCTGAACTGGCTCTCTCTCACCTCAGGACAAGCACTCCTCTTTTCTAGAAAGGGACACTTTCTTTCTGAGCATGTTGCAAGTCAGAATTTTTTTGATATCTTTTTGCTTCTGCACGGACTTCCACAGAACCACTTCAGAGTGCCCATCAACTGCAGGGACCAGGCCAGGGAAGGGTCCCACTGTCTGATTTGAGTGAAAGGTGGACACAGCAGTCCCTTCTGAGAGGGAAAGTGCATGTATGTGTGATTTGCATGAAACTACTCCTTCCCTGTGCACCTAAGGCTCCCTGCATTTTTATAAACTCATGGATAAGGGGTCTGGAAAAGTGAGAACAATGCTGTAATCTTCTGCCTTCTCTCTTATCTTGTTTTAGGTCTGGTAGTTCTGCTGCTGATCCAGTGGGGTAAGTGAAAACAAAAACTAGCTCTCGATTCCCCTCAACCCCATTTCTGAGGTCAGTTACAGATACTCCTCAGGGTCCTTGGAGGGTTATGCACATACACACATATACATTCTCTTTCTCGGAGAGAGAGAGTTAGTTCTTCCCAAATGTCACTGTAACTTTCTTCCAAAGTTTAACCCCCTGCACATGTTCTGACCCCACTAACAGTCTCTTCAGAGGATCTTGCCTCCTATCCTCTAGCTTACACTTCTTACACGCCTGTGAGCTCAGATTAAATGTCAGCCTCCCTTGGGTCTGTCCTGAGCTTGTTTGCTCTCACCTCTGTGTTTTTGTGGTTCTTTGACACATTTGAGAGGACCTGTCCTAGTGTTTGCAGTTGCTACTCTGTGACTCTCGGCTCTGTCAGACCCTGAGCCTTGGGAGGTAAGGCCCGTGTCTGCGGAGCCGATGCCTATGCACAATGTCCCCATGTGTGTTAGGATAGAACTGCACTCTGCGGGGTTTTCAGTGGATGACTTTTTGGTAAGTAGATTGCCAGACCTTGTTTTTGAGCACCTCTAGGTGAGCCCAAACTTCCAACCTTTCAGCTAGTAGACAAACACCACATTACCTTCCCCTTCCATAGACTTCCTGAAGGGATGAGGAAGGCACAGGAAAGGGTAGGGTCCGGGTCGGCTGTTTATAGGGCCACTATGAATCATATGACGACCTCTAACAACCACAGTGGCCCCGGGAATGTTGGCCTTGAAATCTTTATCCTTAAGCATCAGACACACATCTCCTTCTTGATCTTAGAGGACAAAACAGTCAAGGGACCAGAGAAATAACAAACATGGAGAAGAAAGGGAGGTTGACAATTTCTCAAAGATGTTTAGTCCAAGTCACCTCTGAGTTTTACTGAAGTATCCTCACAGTACTAGAGATTGTGAGAATGACAAAAGATCAAGCTGAGCTTCAGTCTGTCATGTGCAAGGTCACTGCGAGTCCTAGTTGACTTGACAGCACCTGACAACAGTGCCAGCAAGAACAGAATTCCGTGTGAAAGGAGTCAATATATGTCAAGTGCTTAGAACTTGCCCCCGTGCCAGGAACTGTCAAATTGTTTGGCATATAGGACTGTCAAGAGAACAAGCAGGTCTGTCCTGGAGAGGGTGAAAACAAGACTCTCTCTGGAAGCAAGGATTTTAAAGTTCCGTTTCACATACTTTGGGCATATTGCCAGGAGGGACCAGACCTTGGAGAAGGGCATCATGCTTGGAAGGGTGGAGGGACAGTGCAGGAGAGGAAGACCCTGGATGAGATGGATTGACACAGTAACTGGGGTAATGAGGGTAGATATATCAGGGACAGTGAGATTGGATCAGATAAGGCTGGCTTTAGAGCTAGCTATTGTACATAGGGTCGCTATGAGTTGCAGGTCACTCAATGACACATAACAACAACAACAACAGTTCTTAGTCCACACAAAAAACCATAAGGGGGGGAAACCCATAAGGGGTAGGTGCAAATGTTCTCTCCATTTCCTAGAGAAAAAATCTGAGTCAGAGTTTCAGAGCTGAGATTTCTCACCAGGCATTGAAACTTCAGAGTTTCCACTGTTTTGGTTTTTAACTTAAATGAGAAAAGTTACTAATTTCTGTTTGTTTCACACATCATATGTTCAGGAAACAGTCTTACACATGTATCTGAACACATTATATCACTCTGTGTAAAGGCAAAGCTCTCCAGGTCAAAGTGATAGCTGACTGGAGTCTTGAACCTCCTGAAATCTTGCTTCTGGATTTACCTTTAATGTTTTAAATTCAGAAATACTATCCCCAATAAGGGCTAAGAAGCTGTAAAAGACAAATATTTTTATTTAATATTATAGCTGTAAAAGTGGAGTTTATTTTATTTTAAAACAAGGGGAAAAAACCCCACCTAAGAAGAAAATGCCACTCAACCTTGAATGTCTGTCTAGGGCAGCAGGAAAAACACGCTGTGATAATCTTGTCTCTTAGAGAGTACCAAGAAGAAATTCTAGTCCAAGCTTTAACGAGCTACCTAGATTCTTCTCAGAGCCCTTGCTCTTAAACACCACACTTTATTGCCTCTGTAATTAAAAAAAAATCCCCTATAAGTGATATTTGATATGATAAAATACGATATGATATAAAAAGAACCTCTGGTTTCTTCCCTACATGCTGCTGGGCATGTGTTCTCTGAGTTAACTCCCTCTAGTGGTGTAATCACAGAAGAAAGAGGAACAATTTCCATCTGTGAGATTTACAGCCTCTGAAAACCCACCAGAGGGTCAACTATGAGCCAAGTCAACTCATGGGCACATAATAACAACAGTGGCATAATGCGTAATGTTTCAGACTGCTAATTGAAAGGCTGGGAGTTTGAGTTCACCAGCCCCTCCACGGGAGTCTTCTCTTAGAAACTTGACAGAAGGTCCCCTGATTCAGACTCCACAACAGTGGGGTGGCTTTTTTTTTTTTTTTTTTTTTTTGCCTTGGGCAGTTCACCAGTGTTTCATCTACATCATTGCAGGCTGCACATCTAACAGCAACCTCCACTTCCGGGGGCCTCTGGTTAGGGGCCCACATGTGCCAAAGGGCCCCAACTCCTTCCTGCTCTAGGCATCACCCATGTGTCCAGGGGAGCTCTGGGCCTTTGGGCTCCTGGGTTCCAGCAAGACAAGTGCTGTGTCTTCCTACACTCCTTCAGCCAGCTCCCGCAGGCAGTTTGTACCCCTTTCCAACCCCTCCTGCCAACATGTTTAAATACCGTCCAACCCAAACTCACCCCATCAAGACCACAGTGTACCAGTCACACTGCTGGAAGAGGCTTCAGAGAGCACGGACAACCCCGACTGGGAGCAATTGTTGTTGTTCTATACCGTCGGGTTGGAACGGACTAATAGCTCACCCTCCAGCAGGTTTTCAGAGACAGTGAGTTCAAGAGAAAGAGAATGTTCCTGTGGAGCAGCTGGCAGATTTGAACCATGTGCGTTTAGGTTGGCGATGCAGCTCCTTACCACTAAGCCCCATAAAGTCGCATCACAGGGATGCCAGAGACAATCTGCCTTTCCACTAGAACCTTAGCAGTGATATTCATAAAGGTAAATTATCTATAAGGAATAGCCAGGCCAAGTGAATGCTTTAAAACTAGACTCAGATACAAACCGGGACTCTAACCTGGGCCTCTTCTCTGCCGCTTTGCTCATTTGCCCTTTATTTAACATTTGGAGGCTTTCTGAATGTTGTTTTGAAAGTGTCCACCTGCTTTCAGTGTTTGGCCCAAGCTTAATTCCCCATGAGGGATAGGCTTAGGCACCAGGGCCTGGAGGTGTCTAACTCAGGGAGCCTGCCTGGCAGATCCTGGCCCCGAGGGCTGGGCTCGGAGCCCAGGCAAGGGATCAGGACTCATGTCCTGCTTCCACCTTCTTTCACGCATGCTGACAGCCCAGGTCCCAAGCTCGTTCTCAGCCTCAGCTTCCTTATGTATCCAGTGAGAATGTCAGTCATCATCCTGCCCGTTCAAGATAACAAGGCTCTTATTGTTAGCATCAGACTTCGATTCACAGGGACCCATTTCAAAAAGATCAAAACTTTGCCTTATCTTGCCCTGTTCTCACCATCTCCCCTCACCCTCGTTTTCAAGACCACTGTTGCAGTCGCTGTGCCAATCCATCTCATTGAGGACCGTCCTCTCCTTTGCTGGCTCTCTAGTTTCCCAAAGATGATGTATTTTTCCAAGGACTGGCCCTCCTGACAGCATGCATAAATTATAGAGATGAAATTTCACTCCCCTTCCCTCTAAGGAGCACCCTGGTTGCTCTCTTCTTCCAAGACAAATGTGTTTGTTCTTTTGGCAGTCCATTTTCTGTGCTACTTGCCAACACTGCAATTCTAAAGGTTTCAATTCTTATTTGCTCCTCCTTATTTATTTCTTTTCTTGTCCATCTTTGACAAAGCTGGCTTCTGAAGACGCACTGTTAACTTTTAGGTGCTGCCCAAGCTAACCCAAAAGTCTTTTACAACTGTCTTCCCTTGTTTTAGCAGCCAACCTTAAGGGGCATGGGTCCGCAGCTGGCCATCCTTTCTCTCCTTTACTCCACTCTAGGCTCTGCTACGAAACTGGTCTGCTACTTCACCAACTGGGCCCAGTACAGAGAAGGTGCAGCTCGCTTCCTGCCCAAGGATGTGGACGCCAGCCTGTGCACCCACCTCATCTACGCCTTCGCTGGAATAAACAACCACCAGCTCAGTACCATCGAGTGGAATGATGAGACTCTTTACAAAGACTTTAATGGCCTGAAGAAGATGTGAGATGCTATAGTGGTACTGGGGAGGTGAAGAGGAGGGTCCCCCTTCTCAGAACCACACATCTTCCCCAGCAATTTCCCCGCAGACATACTGGGTGGCTTTGGGCGAGTCACATCCCCTATCTGCTCTTTCTCCATCCTTATATGAAAAAGGTAAGGGTGGTGGTGTTGCTGTTGTTATGTACCATCAAATCAGAATCAATTCCTAGCTGACCCTCCAGTGAATTTTCAGAGGCTGTAAATCACATGAGGGAAGATTGCTCATCTTTCTCCTGTGGAACAGTTGGTGGTTTTGAACCACCTGCCTCTGGGTTGGCAGTGCAGTTCCCCACCATTAAGCCACCAGAGCTCCCTAAGATGAGAAGAGATGAAGTTGTTCTTTTATTATTATTATTAAAAATTTTATTTCAATGAAAATATACATAAGAGACATACGCAATCTACAAGAACAAGTCAGAAGTATTAATCACATTCTTCATGATGTGTGACCATGCTAGCTATCTTGCTCCATAATCATTCCATAACCTTTAACCCAACAGACTAAGAGATTTATAAGGAAAAGCTCAGGAGGAATAGTCTATAGCATTTTGCACTACTAACCAATAAATTCTTAAGGACTCTTAAGTTGAGGTAGAATTAGTATTGGGAAATGGTTCCCTCTTCTCAGAATGCTTTTCCTCCTCCCTAAAATATTCCTCCCATTTGTCCTGTCCTTCAGCTCAGATCCCAGCATCCCTGAGCGTGAGCATCAGTCACTCTTCGTGAATGCCGTGTGTGTGTGTGTGTGTGTGTGTGTACTTGTGCTGATGACTACGTTCCCCCTGCTGGACAGCCTGGCCCTTGAAGATACTAAAATGTGCCTTCTTTGCTCAGCAATGCTTCCCTCCAAGCGCTCGCACAGAGCTCATAGGGATGTATGCATCCTTTACACTCCACCAGTCAACTTTGCCCTGGCACCTGTCAGCCCCCTTACTTTCCCAGGCAGTAGGGTGAGTTGGAGAGTTGACTGCAAAAATTCTCATGCATCTTTTGTCTTTCCCAGGAACCCCAAGCTGAAGACCCTACTGGCCATCGGGGGCTGGAACTTTGGCACTCAGAGGTGTGTTGACTGTGGCAGGGCCAGTTGTGGTGATCAGGTTACCGGTGACAAAGAGCCCTGGTTAGAGAGCGGGGGCCTGAGTGGGGTGTGGTTCAGGCAAAGGGAAGGTAGCCTAGATTCTGGATTCTCGGGAGCACCATGCAGGGGGTAGACAAGTGGATTAGCTCCAGGCCACAATAAAGCCGGTCTTCCCAGAAGCACAAGACTTATAAACATTGTACATAGTTCTTTCTTTTAAGAAAGTCTACATCTTGTTGTTGTTGTTATGAGTAGCTGAGTGGGAACACATTTTTAACTTACCCTCCAGGGTTTTCCAGAGGCAGTAAATTGCACTGGAGGAGATTGCCCGTTCTTCTCCTGTGAAGCAGCCTGAGGGTGTGAAACATGTGCCTTGGAGTTAGCAGCTCAGTTCCTTTGTTGAACCTTTGTTGTTCTTAGATGCCATTGACTCACAGCGACCCTATGAATGACAGATCTGCACCCTGTCTTATCCTGTGCCATCCTAACAATTGCTGACACACTAGAGCCCATTGCTGTGGTCACTGTGCCAATCCACCTGGTTGAGGGTCTTCCTCTCTTTTGCCGACCCTCTACCTTTCCAAGTATGCTGCTCCTCTCCAAGGAAGAGCCTCTCCTAGCAACATGTCTAAAGTATGTGAGCTCTAGTGGCCTAGTGATAAAAAACTACACTGTCATCATGAATGTATGTGGATCAAATCCACCGGCTGCTCCACAGGAGAAAGATAAGTAATCTCCTTCTGTGCAATTTACTGCCTCTGAAAACCAGCTGGAGGGCCAACTATGGGTTCGTTCCTATTCAAAAGACACACAGCAACAAGAAGCAACATGCCAAGGGAGCTCTGGTGGCCTAGTGGCAAGAAGCTGCAGTGCAATCCCAGAGGTTCGTGGTTTGAATCCACCAGATCCTCTGCTAGAGAAGGAGGGACAATCTCCTCCTGTACCAGTCAGATCCAATCTGATGGTAAACACACGAAAATTAATAAAATTTTTTAAAAAGCAACATGCCCAAAGTTTATGAGACAAAGCTTTATCATCTTTGCCTCCAAGGAGCACTCTGCCTGTACCTTCTCCAAAACATATCTGTACCAATAGGCCACTATTAGTAGCTGTTGTTGTTTAAACATATTTTTTTTATTATATGCTGGTTTACATAAAAGCTCACATTCATTGTTTTTCACACTAGATCTTTCCCATTTCCTTTACTCATCCTTCCCTTAACCCATCAAATTGTGCAATTCTGTATTTAGCCACACCTCCCTCCACCCTCCTCACCCCTCTGCTCCCACTCTTGGATCCTCATACACATTCTACAATAATAATGGTTTTATATGGTATTTATCCTTATGGGACTGAATTAGTTCACTCAGCAAAATGCTCTCTTGTCCCTCCCAAGTTAGGTAGTAATTTATAAAGTTATTGTCCTGTGTGCTGCATAATATTCCATAGTGTGAATGTACCATAATTTCTCAATCTATTCATTTGTGGTTGGACGCTTGGGCTGTTTCCATGTTCTTGTGATGGTGAATAATGCTGCTATGAACATTGATGTACAAGTCTTCATTCATGCCTCAGTTCTCATTTTCTCAAGGTATATTCCAAGCATGGAATATCTGGGTCATATGGAATTTCTATGTTCAACTTTCTGAGGACATGCCAAACTGCCTTCCAGAGTGGTTGTACCATTTTACAATCCCACCAACATTGTGTTAAGAGTTCCTATTTCACCACATTCTCTCCAAAGCTAATTACCTGCTGTCCTGTTAAACTTTGCCACTGCTACTGGAGTGAGAAGGTGTCTCATTGTGGTTTTGATTTGCATCTCTTTTATTGCCAGCGATTTGGAGCATTTCTTCATGTGTCTGTTTGCCATTTGAATGTCTTCCTCTGTGAAAATTCTTTCCATGTCTTTTACCCATTTTGTAATTGTATAATCAGTCTTTTTCTTCTGGAGGCCCTGTAGGATTCTGTAAACTTTTGATATGAGACCCTTGTCTGAAACGGTATTGCCCAATGTTTTTTCCCCAGTCAGTAGACTTTCTTGTCTCTCTGTTGGAAAACATTTTTTGATGTACACAGAGATTTAATCTTTAGGAAGTCCCATTCATCAATTTTATTTTCTTCAGACTGTGTATGTCTGGTTGTATTTGGCTGTCTCTTTATACCATAGAATACGGCATCTAAGCTAGATCCCAGTTTGTCTCTGATGAACTTGATGGTTTGGGGTTTTATTCCCAGGTCTTTAATCCACCTTGAGTTAATTTTTGTGTATGATGTGAGATGTGGATCCTGTTTCAGCTTTCTGCAGGCAGCAGTACAGTTTTGCCAACACCATTTGTTGAAGACATTTGTTGTTATTCCTCTCTCCATCCCTTCCCATCTCTAGTAACCATTCAAAATGAGTTCTGTGTGTAAATCTTTCCTTAACTTTTTGTAATAGTGATCTAATACCATAATGCAGGAGAAGGATGGGTAATCTCTTCCTGTGCAACTTAATGGAAGGTTGGTTCTGACTCAACAGTACATACAGCAATAATGACACCATGACAGTAATTCCCCCCACCCCTTCTCCCTCACCTCATTTCTCTGCTAACTCTCTAAGATTGGTTCTGTGTGTAAACCATTTCTTAGCTTTTCATTTTAGTGGCCTTATGCCATGATTGTCCTTTTGTGACAACTTATGTCAATTAGCAGTTTGTTCTAATTTCATCTATATTGGGTAGTATTTCACAAATTTTTGATAGTTTTTAATAATGCATAATACTACATTGTGTGACTGAACTACTGTTTATTTAGCCATTTATTTGTCCATTGATGAGTGTTTGGGTTGTTTCTAGCTCTTTACTTTTAGAAATAGTGTTGTCTGAGAGCCAACATCGTTCTCAATGGAGAGAGGTTAAAGGCATTCCCTTTAAGAACAGGAACTAGGCAAGGATGCCAACTCTCACCTCTCTTATTCAATATTGTATTGGAAGTCTTAGCAATAATAAGACAAGAGAAGGAAATATTAGTTATCTAAATTGGCAAAGAGGAGGTAAAATTATTTCTCTATGCAGATGATATGATAGTATACCTAGAAAACCTTAAAGACTCAGCAAGAAAACTATTAGACGTAGTTGACCAATTCAGCAAAGTAGCATGATACAAGATCAACATACAAAAATCAGTTGAATTCCTCTACAGAGACAAAGAGAATACAGAGCCTGAACTAAGGAAAACAATACCCTTCACAATAGCGAATCACAAGATTAAATACTTGGGAGTAAATCTAACCAGAAACACAAAGGATCTATCCAAAGAAAATTACAAAACATTACTACAAGAAACAAAAAGAGACCTGGAGAAGTGGAAGAATATCCCTTGCTCATGGGTAGGAAGACTCAATATTGTGAAAATGGCAATACTACCAAAGACAATTTACATGTTCAACGCAATCCCAATAAAAATACCAATCCCATTCTTCAAGGAGATGGAAAAGGTAGTCTCCAGTTTCATTTGGAATGGAAAGAAGCCCCAAATAAGCAAAGCACTCCTTAAAAATAGAAAAAAGGTAGGAGGCATCTCACTCCCTGATTTCAAATCCTACTACACTGCTGTGGTGGTTAAGACAGCATGATACTAGTACAATGA